GCAGCGCTCTAGCTGTGCCACTGTAGCATTTCCAGTGTAGACCAACCTATAGTAAGAGAAAGTCGTTGCCCTTGAAGAGCTTACATTCTAAATAGACAAGACAGGCAAATTGGTGGGAAGAGATGTAAAGTGACTTTCCCAGTGCCACACAACTGGTCAGAGATAAAGTTGATAGTTGATGCCAGGCCTCAGTTCCACCCTGGTGAATTGCATTGCCTCCTTTGCTCTGTCCGCTCCATGTTTGACAGTATTTATATTGGGAGGTAAAAAACATCCCTAGAGATGGAGGAAGAGTCAGCTTAACTACATACGCACTGGAAAGGAAATTAAGGGGTTATTGGGGCATCATGTTCCATAATGCCCATCTACCAACAATGCATGTGCAAGGGAGAGCTAAGAATGTCAACCATATCTTTCTAGCTTGTCTGGCTACTGTGGTCTCTCTTCTGATTGGCTCCTGAATGGTGAATTTAAGATGATGACTAGCAACAATTTTGGCCACTTCCAATTCTCACTCTCTTCAGTTGACGTTAAAAGGCACCAAAGCTTACATGAAAGAAGGAAAATCTACCAATAAACCAAAGAGAATGAGACTTTCAAACTGCTAGAAGTGTATTTTTAAAATCTCTGTTTGATTTCCTTCCTTCAGGCACAATCCTCCACCAGTGGGAAAAGGACTGGGCCCTTCCCATCATCATACTCTCCCAATCTACTTCCTTCTACAGGTCAGCAAGGCTGTTGGCCCTCCAGTAACTATTAATTTGCCTCTACATTGATTGCATCTTGGAAGAATACAACCATTGCTCCCTAACAATTTGATTTTAAAGCAAAAATATTTTGCAGCTATTCAGGGAAGATGAGCCCTGCTCATTTGTAACAAGGGAAGGGGGAAAAGAGAACAGAGAATAGGAATGGCCAACTATGTTTAAAACTTTTTTTTTAATCTTCGCAACCTTCAGCAGCTTGACAACCCATTTTCTTCATGTCATCCCCTCTTTCATTTAGAATTTAGCTAATGAATTTTAAAAAAATTAGTATTTTACCTCAGGGTTATTAACCATGAAATGTGTAAGCGAGTAAAGCCAAGGAAGAACAGGCAGAAGACAGTGACAGAGAATATTGAATGCTCTGGCATCACCTGGAAAGAAGTACCACAACTAGCAAGTGACCTTAATCAATGGAAGAACTCAACTACCCAATGTGTCAGCTACTCAGAAGGAACTAAGTTCTAAGGTAAGGTTATTAATCAGCGGTTTATTCACCA